TGTTTTAAATGTCTTGGGAGAGGCCACATTGCTTCTCAATGCCCTAACAAAAAGGTTATGATCTTAAGGGGCCAAGACATTTATAGTAGCCAAGATAAGGCTACTACTTCTCAATCTTCAAGTGAGGCTGAAAAAGAAACAAGTGAGGAAGAAAAATGTGAGGTCACATACCCTTATGATGAGGAACTTGTTATGGTAAGAAGGCTCCTCAGCAACCTAGTGATACACATTCACAAAGGGAGAACATATTTCATACAAGTAATACTTCAAACAAAGCGTGTTCTCTCATTGTGGATAGTAGCTCTTGGTAACTGTTGTAGCACTAGGATGGTTGACAAGTTAGGGTTAACTACCACACCCCATCCCAAACCTTATCAACTTCATTGGCTCAATGATGATGGAGATATGGTGGTTAATCAACAAGTGGAGGTAGAGTTTTCTATTGGGAATTATAAAGATAAAGTTAAATGTGATGTAGTTCCCATGGAGGCTTGCCATATTTTGTTATGTTAGGAAGGCCATGGAAATTTGACAAGCAAACAACTCATGATGGTCTTACTAACAAGATAACCTCCACACATAAGGGTAAAAAGTTTGTACTTCATCCTCTTTCACCATCTCAAGTGGCTGAATATCAAGTACAAATGAAGGCTAAACGTGAGTTTGAAAACAAAAAAGGGAGATTAAAAAAAAACCCTAAAAATTAGGAATCAAGAGGATTCTAGAGAGTCTAGTGTTCCCTCTCTAGAGATAGTTCAACAAAGAGAGAATCATTCTACTAAAACTGTTAAAAACATCTCTCTTGATTGAACCATCTTCATATGTCCTCATCTATAGAGGAACACTCACATGCACTGCCATAAGTAAAGTAAATACTTCTGTACCCCTTGACATCTAAAATCTTTTAGTTGAATTTGATGATGTATTCCCTAGGGAAGGGCCTATTGGTCTTCCACCTTTTAGGGGTATAAAACATCAAATAGATTTTGTTCCAGGAGCTAGTCTTCCCAATAGACAAGCTTATAGAACAAATCCACAAGAAACTAAAGAGATAGAGAAGCAAGTACAAGACTTGTTGGATAAGTGTTGGGTTCAAAAAAGCTTAAGCCCTTGTGTTGTGCCTGTTTTATTGGTGCCAAGAAAAGATGGGAAATGGAGGATGTGTTGTGACTGTCGAGCCATCAACAATATTACCATAAAATATAGGCACCAAATTCCTAAACTTGATGACATGTTTGATGAATTACATGGTTCATCTATATTTTCCAAAATAGATCTTAAAAGTGGATATCACCAAATTCGTATTAAAGGTGATGAGTGAAAAATTGTTTTTAAGACTAAGTTTGGATTATATGAATGGTTAGTAATGCCCTTTGGGTTTACTAATGCACCAAGTACATTCATGAGGTTGATGAATCATGTCTATAGGGATTGTATTGGAAGATTTCTAGTTGTTTATGTTGATGACATCTTAATATATAGCAAAAGCCTAATTGACCATGTGGATCACTTAAGGCAAGTGTTGCTTGTGCTTAGAGAAAATCACTTGTTTGCAAATGTAGACAAGTGTACCTTTTGTGTGGATAATGTTATATTCTTGGGATTTGTAGTAAGTAAAAATGGGGTTCATGTGGACCTCGAGAAAATCAAAATCATTCAAGAATGGCCTATTCCTACTAATGTAAGTGAAGTTAGGAGCTTCCATGATTTGGCAAGCTTTTATAGACTTTTTGTTCCTAACTTCTCTACATTAGCTTCACCACTCAATGAGTTAGTGAAGAAGGTTGTGGTCTTTCTTTGGCAAGAAAAACATAACTTAGCCTTTCAAGAACTTAAACAAAAGCTCACTCAAGCACCTGTTCTAGCTCTACCAGATTTTAACAAAACTTTTGAGCTAGAATGTGATGATTTAGGAATTAGCATAGGTGTTGTGTTGTTACAAGGTGGCCATCCCATAGCTTATTTTAGTGAAAAACTTCATGGGGCTGCTTTGAATTACCCAACCTATGACAAGAAGCTTTATGCTTTGATTCGAGCCCTTCAAACTTGAAAACATTATCTTGTGACCAAGGAATTTGTCATTCATAGTGATCATGAATTACTAAAATATTTGAGGGGCCAAGGTAAATTAAATAAAAGGCATACAAAATGGGTTGAGTATTTAGAACAATTTCCTAATATCATCAAATACAAGAAAGGCTCTACAAATGTAGTGGCTGATGCCTTATCAAGAAGGCATGTCTTATTGAACACCCTTGGTTCTCAAATATTAGGGTTTGATGACATAAAAGAATTGTATGAGAAAAATCCTGATTTTGCTAACTTATATCTTTTATGTATTCAAAAGTCTTATCAAGGTTACTATATTTCTGAGGGGTTTCTTTTTAAAGAAAATAAACTTTGTATACCCCAAGGATCTATTAAGAAACTTTTGGTACAAGAGAGTCATGAGGGTGGACTCATGGGACATTTTGAAACTGAGAAAACTCTTTTACTATTGAAAGAAATTATTTTGGCCTCATATGAAAAGAGATGTCCAAAGGTTTTGTTCTAGATGTATAGCTTGTCTTCAAGCTAAATCTACAACCAAACCTCATGGTTTATACACCCCCTTGCCAATATCCAATGCTCCTTGGGTTGATATATCCATGGACTTTGTCCTTAGGTTGCCTCGTACCCAAAGAGGAAAGGATTCTATCTTTGTGGTAATGGACCGTTTTAGCAAGATGGCACACTTTATTCCATGCCACAAAGTGGATGATGCAAGTAACATTGCTAAGTTATTTTTCCAAGAGGTAGTAAGGTTACATGGGTTGGCTAAGACTATAGTATCTGATCGAGATGTTAAGTTCCTTATCCATTTTTGGAAAACACTTTGGTCTAGGCTAGGAACTAAACTCTTGTTTTCTACTAAATGTCACCCTCAAACTGATGAGCAAACTGAAGTAGTTAATAGGTCTCTTGGAACTATGTTAAGGACAATCCTCAAAGGTAATAAAAAGTCATGGGATGACTACCTACCACATGTAGAGTTTACCTACAATAGGGTAGTGCACAAAACCACAAACATGTCTCCTTTTGAGATTGTATATGATTTTAATCCTCTTACTCCTTTAGATTTGTTACCTCTCCCTGATGTTGCTTCTTTTATCCACAAGGAAGGATCATTTAGGGCTGAATTTGTTAAGAAATTACATAAGAGGTTAGAGACAATATCCAATCCCAAACGGATAAATATGCTAAATACAATAATAAGGGTAGAAAAGAGGTTATCTTCAATGAAGGTGATTGGGTTTGACTTCACCTTAGGAAGGAAAGATTTCCTTCCAAGAGGAAGTCTAAACTTAGTACTAGAGGGGATGGTCCCTTTCAAATCCTTAGAAAGATCAACAAGAATGCCTATGTCCTAGATCTTCCCTAATATCACTTATTTATCTCTTTTTACAGGGATTGATGATCAAGAGGAAGATTCTTTGGATTTGAGGTCAAATCCTCTTCAAGAGGGAGGGGATAATGGACGCCCATGGGCCAAAGGCCCAACTACTAGGGTCATGGCCAAGAGGATGCATGAAGAATGGGCCAGTGCTAAAGAAAAACCCATAGTTCTTTTTAGTTAGGCTATACTCTAAAGCCCATGTAGTGTAGGTTTGGGCCTAATGGGCTTGTATTTTGTTTTGGGCCTTGTATTTTGGCCAAGTAGTTTAGGAGTTTCATTTCAATATAATTTGGAATTTAGGTTAAAGAGGAGTTTCATGTGCATCTCAATTTAAATGTCATTAGCATCACATTTAGAGAGCATTTCGGCCATGTGCTTTCACGCACATGGAGTGACCGAAATTCACTCCCAAATGCATGCTAAATAACATTCAAATTGAGTAGCACATGAGGGGTGACCGGTTTGGCACCAAAATTTGAATTTAAACATTCAAATTTTGGCACCTAAGGTTTAATTAACCATACCATGGTTTAAATTAAACCTTAGGTTAGCCAAACTTCCCTAGCACACTTCCTTAGCTTATATATTTCATTTGGACGTGTAATTTGGCACTTAGGCGATTGAATGAGAAAATTCTTCTTCTTAGAATCCTTTTCTCTAAACCGAAGTCACCAAAGGAGAGTACTATCTCCAATTCACCTTGATCTATACTCTTTGTAGTTCTAGGTGAGATCACTTCTTCTACTCAAGGAGCTTAGTTCTCCTTGTTCTTCATTGACGCCTCAACTTGGTCGAAACTCCTCCTTGAACAATTCTTCAAGGACATCCAAGAAAAGACGTTGAAGTTTCCGTGGAGTTGGCATCAATCAAGACTCCATCATTAATAGTAATATCAAACCTTTCTAGAGATAGTCCAGTAAGGAGAGTAGATCAAATTGAGGGAAGCCCTATGACAAGAGATAGAGGGAGGTCAAGAAAATTAAATGAGAAACCACTAAGATTCAGAGTTACATAGTTTGTCTATAGATATGATACATAATAGTACATTATGATATCATATGATCCAAATAGATAGCTAACCCACCAAGTGAAAAACTACTTGCTTTGTTGGTTTTTACTGTTGTTGAATTTTCCATTCATTTCTGGCCACAAAAACAGTATACACAATCACTCCACCAACAACTAATAGTAGGTAACAAAAAATAAATTGCAAGTTTTAGATAAATCTATGTATAAACTTGGGTAACATGTTGATCATTCTAGAATAAATAGAAATAGCAATGAATCTCAGAAGTCATGCATTTGTCATACTGGTTTTCTCCTTTTTCAGAAGGTTCAACACGAAAAGCACAAGGTTAAAGAAATAACAAAAGACTTTAATCAATTAAAGTGTATGTTGAACTTGAACTCCATAATTATTAGGGATTGATCATAGATATCCATTCTAGTCCAAAGGTCCATTATGAAGGGTAATAAAAAAATTGTCTGAACTATTACAGAAAGGAAGCTTGAAGCAAATAATGGTAGTCAATTTACTTAGAAATATAAAATAACAGCCAACTACCTTGAAGCTATATCAAGTAGACTTCTCATAGTTGATCCAGAATCAGATCCCCACACAAGAATTTCTTGTCTTCCCCCAGATATAAAAGTAGATAAACATTCTGTAGCATTCTGTTCATGTCAATCAATGCATATATTTAATCTATGTTCCAATCAGAAATCACTGAAAACACAAATATCGAATAGGGTTGGTGTGTTTAAAAGAATAACCTGAATTTCACTGTGGTCATCACTTTGAAGGATTATATTGATAACAGCATTAAAAGAGACATCATATATTGCTTTCACTACATCAGAAGGGGCATTCTGTATAAAGCTACAACAAACTGAGATGAGAAAATCATAAGATAAATAAAAAGCTCAAAGTTCAAAGCTGGCATGCTTCCAAGTATACTTGCCTTCAGTAACATTGTTACCAAATCTAGTGATCCAGCTACCAAACCATCTGCCTGCTCTTGGGGCTGTAAGAACATTTACAGAGATGTATAAGTAACAGGTATTATTCTAAACTCATTAACTCTGACACTGAATAACTTTGAATAGTCATACTTGATTTAAAATTGGTCCAATATACGGCAAAATTCTGGAAACCAATGGATGTACACATCCGGGAATGCTTTTAATAGCCTGGAAAAAAAAAATTAATCAGATGACAAAAGAAATTATTTATAATTATTGAAATAATTGTTTTCTAAGTCTTTGTGAATGTGCTTAACTGAGTAGAACCACTCAGCTGAATGATCTATTTATATTCAAAAGTATTACAAAGATAATCAATGATAGGCTACTTGGAAAAAGGAACAACATTAAAAATGCTCTTATTTCCAACACTCCCCCTCAATTTGAAGTTTGGATATTTTCCATTCCCAGGTTGGATACAATTCTCAAAATCCGGAATGCACAATCCTTTGGCGAGACTATCTACTAGTTGATTTTGTAAATGTACATATGGAATACAAACCAAACCACATTTGAGTTTTTCCTTGATAAAAATGTATATCCACTTCAAGGTATTTCATTCAATCACACTAAACAAGATTACTATCTACGACTATCGCTGACTTATAATTACAGTAGAGACTCATATGTTCATCCCATTTAATCTTGAAGTCTCGTAAAATATTTTTTGACCAAAGTAGTTCACAAATACCTTGTGCCATAGCTCAAATCTCAACTTCAGTACTAGACCGAGCATCAACAATTTGCTTTTTACTCCTCCAAGTTATTAAGACTCCTCCAAAGTGTAAAACCCAGTAATAGAACTCTTCTTATTCATTGACCCAGCATAGTCAGCATCATTGTAAGACTCAAGAATTGCATTTCCATTCCTTTTATATAAAATTCCTCATGAGACAGAAATTAATTTTCTAACCAAATGCTAATACATCTCCTTATCCACTGTAGCATTATCATCTCCCAGTTAAGAGGGTACTCACAGGTTTAAAAGTTGTCTTACATGTCTCCTTAGCACAACTCTGATATATTTCTGTTGAGATATGGAAATACCTTTTTTTGGAGTAAGTCACCTCAATTCCCAAAATATATTTTAGCCTCCCTAGAGTTTTCATCTCAAACTCCTTAGCATGATAATTACTCAAGATTGATTCATTTCAATCATCAGCAATTACAATAATATTGTCTCCATATACTAACAACAGTCAACCCCATCCCCACCCCCCGACATTGAGTGTCAGATGGATACAGTGTAGTCTCCTTGACTTTGTATTCTAAGGCTGACATAATGTAAGAGAATCTTCCAAATCATGCTTAAAGGGATTGTTTCAACCCAATTGGAAGCAACATTTTGCTATATCTGGTGAAACCTCCATATAAATTTCTTCCTCAAGCTCCCCATATAAGAAAGCATTCTTCATGTCAAATTGCAGTAATTCCAGCCATAATTGGCAGCAAGAGATACCATTACCTAGACTGTATTTATCTCTGTAATCTGGGAAAGGGTCTGTAAGTAATCGGTTCCTTAAGTTTGGGTGAAGCCTTTGGCTACTAATCATGCTTTATACCTTTCAAGTTTCAATTGACCAATCAGCATTATACTTCAAGGTATATACCCACTTGAAACCAACTGCCTTCTTTCCTTCCGGTAAAGTAACTAGATTTCATGTATGAATCTGATCATTTCCCAATGCATCCATCTCTGTATCCATAACCTGTTCCACTTTTTATTATATAATGCCTCAAAATTACAGGGTATGATGTTTTCAACTGCCCTGTTTTTGTCTTATGCATTTAGTTTTTCCCTTGTTTTGCCACTTCATGTTAATGTTGTGCTTTTATTTGCTAGAGCTTAGAAACCTTTATTTTGATCAATGTTGTCAAATATCGGTTATGACTGCCATGGCAGTTTTTTAACAAGATGCCATGTGTTATGACACAGCAGGTTCTCATGGCATAATCATAGACCCAAAAAAAGGATTATGGTGGAAAATTCAAAAAGGCCTACCTTGAGGCATCAATATGACCCAACTAAATTTTTACCTATTTACATGGGCATACCATGACCCATAAGCTCGAGTGAAACTCCACCGCACAAGAGTTTACTTTGAGGATCCCAACATCCATATATTTTAATTTTCAACTCACTCCCATATGTTTTCTTCTTTCCTATACATCACTGCTGACAGAAGTTTCACCTCCAATGATGTGTATTTTCCAACAACTTATATTTTTTCCAGTTACCCATATCCCCTTTCCTATTCTGAGCTTCTCACCTTTTTCTCTTCCCATTTCCTGTAACCTTCTCTGGAAACCAACCATTCTTTTCTTTTGCCTTTTCTTTTTCTTTTCCATCTTGTAATTTTTTCTATTGATTCTGTCCACCATTTTTTTCAGTTAACCTGTCCTTTAGAGCTCTAGCGCTACATTTCTATTTTGCATTCAGCCCTTCATTCTTTAATGATACTCGATATTTAATTTATTTTTGTCCTATTTTTTATCATTTTATTGTCTCTTTAAATTTGCAATTAACTTGTGTTGAGAATTGTGACATTGTATTTAAATTTTCAAGTTAATGAATTGTGACGCTTTTAATTTAATGTTTTTTTGACATGTCTGCTTTTCTGGTAAATTTTGTATATATATTACATTTTTATTATACCTTCCATGCTTCCGCCATAACCCACAATGCCATCCACTATTACCTTTATGGCATTTTTTTTTCACTTCTCGCCAAGAGCTGACATCCGTCATTAACAACACTGATTTTGATAAAAGACATGCTTTGTCACTGTTGGTAGGATAGAACCTTTCGTGTTACAATCTCATGTTTTGCCTTTCTACCTCCCTTGACCAATTGTATACATGTTTGACTACATTTATCATAACTACTGTAAGATGCTAAGAAAAACAGAACTCTACAGATAATAATATTCACAAAATAATAAATAAATATTATCAATACCTCGAGAACTTCAAGTACATCAATACTGATAAAAGGATCCGAAACATGTGATGCCCACACATTAAGCATTATAGGAGAAACCATGTGTTCTACTAATGTCGACGATTCATGGCCTATAATAATAACGAGAGTATAAATACAGTTGAAACTGAGACGAAACAAAGATTTGAGTGAAAACTTGCTTGAAAGAAACCCTCTTAGCCCAATGATTTATAATACATTTTCTGTACAAGAGAATACCAAAATTTTGGAAAAGAACAAGATTACAGCATAATTTCCAATTCTAAATATGTGCAGAAAATCAAGCTCACAGTAAATATCCTCAATATAATCAAGCTGAATCAAATCAAATTTAATCAAACATAAGAGGATTACTCCAAATCTCAACAATCCCTTATGTTGGTACATGTAAGTCATATGCAAGCAGCCTGTTACACAAGTTTGATATCATAGGTCCACAAAGAGACTAGTAAAGTTGTAAGTTAGTAATTAGAACCAACAATCGATGTAGTGAACTCCCTACAAACAATCTTCTCAAATAAAATGAAAATCTCATTATACTTCATTCCCTCCAGAAAAATTGGATTAGAAGTGATATGCAAGGGTACATGAATATCACAAAAGGAACTCATAAGGCCTACTTTAAAAAACTAGAACTTTGGGCCAGGGCTCAAAGTCCTCAATACTAGGACTAAGTCACATTAACAAATTTCTCTAGAAAACCATGCAAGGCGAAATGCCAATCTTAGATATGAACAAAATGCTTGCAATATGATAAGCACGCAATCACTTGGAGAACCCTCCTGTAAAACTAGTTGTCGAGGGGGAGAACCAAGACACTTAAGTGAACTATTGAGCTTCTCATAGAACTGGATGTTAGACTTAGGCACACCACAATACCCAAGTTCCTATCTTAGCACTGCTCATGAAAGCCAACATCCCAATGGCTGCATTCTATGAAGCTTCACTCATCCTTTCTCGCTAGTCCATCTGTAGTCTAGTTGCTCTTGTTATCAAAGTTGGCTGTAGGTGTCTAGGGGTAAAACAACAAAGAAAGGTGGTGAAACATTCAAACCCAGAAACCAAAAAATGGTAAAACAGACTGAGGAAACTCTAACGAACAAAACCAGGTCAGTAAAGTCCCAAACTAATGACAATAAAGTGGCATGTGGGCCCCTGCATTGGCAACAGCACAACTAGCGAACAGCGCATATGGGTACGGGCATGTGAAAATAGATCTGTAGGCAGATCTCTAGGAGACAAATGGTTGGTGGCCACTTAACCAAACAAAACTGGTCCTACTTGACTGTAGCTGAAAATAAAAAATAGGGTTCATGGACTAAAAAGCACTGGTAGCAAGTTGAAACAACCATACAGATGAGTGAAAATTTGCTTGAGAGAAACCCTCTGAATCCAATGATTTATAATGCAAGCTTCGTACAAGAGAATCCCGTTATTTTGACAAAGAACCAACAAGATTATAGCATAATTATTATAAATATGCACAGAAAATCAATCTAATATCTGAAAATACATTCAATACAATCAAGCTGAACCAAATCAAATCTAATCAAACATAATAAGAAATACTAGACCTAATTCACAGAAAAGATAATGCACAGAGAAAATGAAAGAGAAATGAACAACAATACACTGTCTTACTTTATTGAATAGAAGAATATGGTTTAATATGTACATGAGGGAAGCTGAAAAGGAAATAACTAACAGAATATAACAAACTAATGATAACAGAAAAAGGGAAATTGCAACAGAACTATTCTTGAGACTAATATCAGCAAATACAAACAAATTGAACTAGCTAACTGAAATATTTATTAATCATGGGTGGAAGTTTGATGAGAGCATACAAACATACTACATTATAAATAGTAATACATACATATCTCTTACATGCATACATATACAGGGGATGTATTAAGTGAGAAATGAAAACTACGAAATTAAGTCATTCAATCATACATGGACAGTCAAGATTAAAAGATAGTAGTCATATAACCACTTAAAAAAGTGTATTTTCCATGACTTTTAAGTTAGTTAATGATCAAAGTTGAATGAAAACATGAACTTTTTAAAGTGGTCATGTGACGACCAACTTTTAATCTTGACCATCCATGTTACATGTATCATTTATGGTTATATGACCTAGATTATACTTCTCATTTCTACAAAATATCTCAAAACCTAAGCAATATATAAAACTAACCTGCTTTTACTGCAGCAAGCAATGTATCAAGTACCATGTGCAAGGTTTCATCTGATGCCTGGAAATCATACTAAGGTAACTATCACATGCAACAATAGTAGAAAATATATGGCAAAAGGATTATAAGTATTGTACATGATTAAGAAGATCTGTGAGAGATGACAATAAACCCAACAACTGTGATTGGACAATTTCATTTTTTGCTTCAGGAAGAAGGTTAGAAAGTGCTCGGCAGGCACCTACTTTTACAGGTGGGGGCCTGTTAAATTCAAAAGTTAGAAGGGTATATCATACAAAGAATACAAACAGATACAGATGTGCTTACACATCCATTGTAATTGCCTTCATTGCTGAATATAGAAAATGTTCTAGTAAACCGCTGCTTATCTGTAAAATATTTTGAGCAAATAGAAGTCAGGCTGTCAGAGAGACAATCTTAAAAGTTAGGGAGGATCATTTACCATAGAGGAGAATTTAGCAACTGAAGTGAAAAGGCGGGCATATAGAAAGGGATATTCAAGAGGACCTGTCAGAAATACAAAAACAGTATTCGAACAAAATATGTATCACAGCTGCATTCATTGAAGCAGTATGGGAACTTAAAGGAAGCAAGGGGAAAGTTGAGAATGACCTATTAGAGAGTCCTCAGTGAAAATCTGCTCTATCAGGTGCTTCAAGCTACTTGTCTCAAACCCAGACTCCTGTACCAATAACAAAATATCTCATATTTTATCTTAGTGCAAAATAAAACCACATTATTGAAAATGGAAATGAAAATGTTTAAGCCTAATTCTACTTATATCATATATCACAACCAAAGTCAAAATCACTAACCTCTGTCTCAAATAGTTGTTCCGAAAGAGATGATAAAGCAAAAAGTGTAGCTTCTCTTATCTGCCAAATTTATGTATAAAATAGTTTAGCCTATGAGGAACTTAGAAATAAAAAGGAAGCAAAAGAAATAAAAAAAATCTCATGAAATAGTTGATGCATAAACAAGATCTGCCTGTTCTGCCATACGTGTTCTTCTGGAATCATTGGCAGGCATACCATGGCAAAGATTAACAGAGCATAAGTACAAGAATAAAACCCAAATAAGAACAAGGGGCAGAAAAAATAATCGAGCCATGACAACCATGCTTGATGCTTACATCTCAAGGGGTGTGGGAAGGAAAGGAGAAAAGTTGGGGTGCAGCAAGGATGTGGAGTTTTTTTTTGTGTGTGTGCGTGTGGGGGAGGGTGTTCCTGCAGATTGTGAGGTACTATTCTTTCCCGGTAAGACTCCAAACACAAAGAGATACAGACAGAAAAAAAGGGTAAAAACAGGGATTGAGAATCAGCATCATTTTAAAAATAACCTGTGTTAGCAGGACAATTAAATTTATATTCTCCACCAAACATAATACATAAAATTTCTAGGTCCAAGGAAAATAGGCATTCTCTATTTACCCTCCACCAGCTTGCATTTCCAGCTGTTTTTCTGATTTGAGACTCACTGAACCATTGTTTTGCAGCATCTATGATGGCCAAAATTCCTTCACCGTCAAAAGAACTTATTACCTCTTCCAGTAAAAGCACACCTACAAAAAGCATTCTCTGATGAAGTTTCTGACACTAAAACAGATACATAAACTCGTATGAACACAGGATCAAAGAAATGAAGAATTGAAATCATTCTAAAGTATAGGTGGCAATTAGATCCATTAATCCATTATCCAATCAGTCAGACCATCTATATATATTTCCAATTCAAGGCACGCAATTACAATAAAGTTTAAAGAATTGGATGGGTATTCGGTTGTCTGTTTTGTGGAGGTGAATAAAGAAACCAAAATATCAAATGAATAACCAATATTGATGGTGGATATTGAATGCATTGATGAACAAGGTTGTCAAACACTCGAGTTAACTAGTATACTCTTCCAAGTTTACAATCCTAAGTGGAGAAAATGAGTTAACTCTATAGGGAACTCTCTTTCGAGTAAACTCTTATAAACTCTCAAGTCAAGAAGCCAATTAACTCTTATAAACTCTCAAGTCAAGAAGCCAATTAACGAGTTTGAAATCAAATGTAATTTTTGCTCCTATTGACTTCATAGTGTTGGTACTTTATTATAACTCAAACGATTCGAAGAAATCAACTCCTTTTCAAAATAATTTCACTCAACCATCTTATTATGAAATTATATATAATTTTATCATTTACATTGTTTAACCCTATTCAGTACTAATGTACTAGAACACTTTATTATTGTAGTTTAGTACTTTTGCCTTTTTATGGAATTTAAATGTTTAATTATTGTTGTATTAAGTGTATTATGTTATGCATATACGTCATTAATAGGTTTTTTTTAATGTTATTTTTATAATCCGAGTTTACAAGTCAAGCCTAGAAGTTGAGTTCACAGAAACTTTATGAGTTTGCATAGAATCTCAAGTTTGACAACAATGCTGATAAATTATATATTATCTATCCAATGTGATCCAATCCAAAGTCCTTCCAGTACAACCGATAAGCTGTTTAGTGTTGTTGAATGATAAAACACACATTAAAAAACATTACTACAATACAAGGATAAGGATTTAAATTATTATCATAACAATCACCAAAATAATTATGATGAAGGAAACTAACTCAACATAGGAACTTATTAGTCAAATTGAAATAAACTACCATAGCCATAAAACTGCAAGTAAAATATTATGCAGAGTTACTGACCAGAGATGCGGCAGCTGTAAGTGGCATCTTCTTCATCAGCAATGAACTGGTTAGCATCCACAGACCACGTATGAACCTGAAAAGTGAATTGACAATTCTTGAGTAATAAAAATTGTAAATGTTCCGATTGCTGCAAAACTAATAAGAAAAAAAATGACAGGAAGAACACCAAAGGCACTGCTATAAGTTACCATGTTTTGACTTTTACATTTTTGCTATAATTTAGGTAGGGGAAGAAAAAAAGAAAAAAAAGACCTAGGGGGAATTTGGTACATAGGAAGTTTTAAGTTTTCCAAGAATATGAAGTTGAAAATGTTACTTTTCCATATTTGATTTATTATTTAAAAAATAAAATTCCAAAGAAACATTATTTCTTGGAATCTATTTTACCTATGTTTCCTGTTATATTAATATATTTAGTATTATTAATATCTGTCTTGTAAAAGCTGTTTTTACGTTGTCTTTGAGAGGATAAGGAACCTAATTAGAAGACTCCTACACACAATTTGCTTTAATTCTATCTCTCACATAAACATGCATAAATACGCATAAGCTGTAAAGTGTCATATGAAGCAGTAAAAGGATTGGCATCCATTTTATGATGAAATAACAAAATTAAAGAAATAATTTATCAAATAGTGGGTACAGAGGAAGAGATCAATCTACACTCAAGTAAGCTATAGCTTCTTTTCTTCAAATGACAAACAACATTTTAAAGGGCAGTAAAATTATTAAGTGAATCTGAAGAAAGCCAATCATATGCTACTGAGCAAAATGATGACAAATACAAACTAAGCAATGGGAAGAGTCAAAAATGTTAAACCTGTTGTTCTGTCATTTGAAGGAAAGCAATGGTATAGTACACCAATTCTCTGACATTAGCCATAACCACCTATAGAAGTGCAAGCCACAGATCAAAGTAATGACAATATAACACAATCAACAGAAAAGAAGATTTCAAGAATGTTCTGAACCAAACCTTTCCAAGTCTTGGATTCCCCACAATGGTCAACATGAGTTCAAATAGCTGCAAATGAAAAATTAGATGAAAAATAATAATAATTCAAAAGTAACTAAAAGAAATCAAGGAAACAGAAACATAAAACCATGAGAACCAGATCTATACAAGTTAGACCTATCTCAGCCAGTTAATTACTTAAAAGTCTAATTATTATTATAACTAGAAGGTATGGATCAAACAAAGAGTTTCCTTTTTATTACTCCCTCTGGTCCTTTATATAAGAAACAAATAACTAATTTATCAAAATCAATAAAAATAGTTAAGATGGTTAATTTTCATTAATAATGTCATGGAGTTAAATTTCATTCCAAAAATACCCTTTGAGTTGATTGTTTTAAATAGTGGTAGCACTAAATGACATTACAGCTAATTGAAAAAGGTAACTTTTTCCAATAATGAGTTTAACTTGTATTGATAATGCATCAATAAATACATCCACTTGCATGAGGGTATAAAAGAAAATTAGTAATTTATACATCTTAAAGTAAGTATTTGTTTCTTGTAATTAGGATCATTTGTTTCTTATATAAAGGACCAAAGGGAGTAATAATCTAACAAAGCCACAACATTCAATAATGAAAAAAGGCTTATTATCATCGCAGTGACTCCAGTATCCCATGTGGATTCTGGTTTGACTAATTTTAAAAATTAGGGTTAACTTCCTTGCCGGATGAGGCTTAATTATAAGTCTAACTCAATCATACAAAATCAACTTCTAAGATGAAAGTTGTCCTCTACTTATACACTCTATTTTGGCCTTATTTCTTGTCGATATGGTACTTAAGTTTTTTTTCCAATACACCACCTCACTCCCAACACAATTGGGTTTGGTGTATAGATAATATGATGGGTGACACTTTTTTTAATAGATCTAAGATAGAATCTAATACAATCTTAGAATATGGGTTATAGGCCTAACTCAACCTAACATAAACTAACTTATAAGGTGAGGGTTGTCCTTTATTTATATACTATATTTTGGTTTTGTTTCTAGTCAATATAAAAATTTGTTTTCTCCCAATAACTAGCAACCAATTCAGTTTGACACTTCATAATTGTTTAAGCAATGAAGATAGGATTTACAGCATCAGATAATTGTTTAGGATCCTAATTTTTCATTAATTATCTAGGTTTTTCTCCTTGTATTAATTATCTTGTATAGTCTAAGTTTATCTTTGAGCCCATAAAATTTGACTGAATATTTTCAACAGTCAACACCTGTCTAATTGCATCATTCTGCAACAATATACAGCTTCAAATTCAATCATCTGATTCTTTACAAGCTCATTGGAATACACAAATGAATGGAGGAAAATGGAAGTCATATGTAAGAAAACTTACACAATTTTTCTTCATAAAAGAAAATAGAGCTATATGTATTATCAAAATCCATGTTGATTGGTTAATGGGTATCTTCACCTTCTATTGGATGATGTTATAAAGTTTCTACATTTAGTAATTGATAAGAGGCACAGAAAGAATGATAGTATAAATCAACTTTACAATAAATTTAAATTCACAAGGACAGGCGATCAATGAATAGAGATCAAAAACCATATCCAGTAACATATCACCCAGCTGACAAATGTTTTCCTGAGCAAGCCTTCACGTACACAAAATGAAAAAGGAAATGTAATGCCATTAAAAAGGAGATTGAAAAAATCGTCCATGACAGCTAAAGTCTGTCAGTCAATTCAGACATGAAAATATCTCTAACAGAAGATTGTAATTTCTTGCATTATAAAACAATTAACGTGAAAAACATAGATTGCTGCTATCATCACCTGGATAACAAATGAATCAAGGCTTTTCTCTGAACCATCAGAATCATATCTTCCCTCAAATGAATCTTCTGTTCCGTCAATAGATGCTTGCTCGTAAACTCTCAAAGAAGAGACAAAGGTATTCCATAAAGGTCCCAATATTACTACAGTGAAAAGCATTTTGTAAAACAAATAAGTTAAAGAACTAAAAAAAAATGTTTAGCAACTTAACTAGAGGAATAAACATACCCTCAAATTCACTTTTATTGATGAGACTTGAAAAATTCTGAATAAACTGATTCAAGCACTTCAAAACCTTACAAAGAATAATAAAACATTGATTTATTACATACAAAATATGTGTGTACAAAATTACACATTGATCAAAGGGGGGAGAGAATTTATTAAGACTAACCTCCATTCTGATGCTCCAATCATCTGGATTTTCAGATTGAACTGGAACTTTTAGAATGGAAGAAAACTGGTCCATCCATGGTTTAAGAAAAGGAACTATCAGAGAACCCGTTTCTGCCTAAACAGAATATATTGATATGTTAATATTTATAAAGAGAAAAAAAAAACAAAAAATAATACTAATCCAACAATCCACAAGAACAGTGCATATCACTTATTGGCAAGAAAATACCTTGTAGACACCACTCATTGTCCCCAGCATAGAAGTGCAAGAGTAGATTACTGAAAGAGCCTTCGTTCGAATGTATGGGTCATATATCTGAATGGCAATAAGAAAATAAGAAATAGTTATGGGTGACAGAAGTGGCTCAATTTACCATATAAACAAAAAAAATGGTAATTTTCTTCATTTTTTCTTCAAAGAATTCACAGATCTTGGAAAAGTATTGAAATGAATTATCAAAAAGAATAATATTAGTACAAACATTTCAATTTTACTTCAAAAAATCTGCACTGATGAAATGAAAAAACTTTTGACAAATGACAATTGACAAAACTTATGCAACAAGCAGGTAGACAGTAATGACTTTTATCCATAGCCACACTTGTTAATTCATACAATCTGCTCTCTTCCTTTTAAAAGTTGACAATTAAGAATATATAATAACGGAGATAATGTAGGGGAAAGATATAATGTCAACTTTTGATTCTTAGAATGTAAATTTGAATCTAACTCAATCTTACAAAACTGACTTTTAAGGTGAAAGTTGTCTCCCACTTATAAACTATTTATTTGTCTTATCTCTATTAGATGTAAGACTTGGATTTCTTACAATACCACCCCTTTCAACCAACACTTTTGGACTTGGTGTGTGTAATAGTATATACTTCCACTATGTACATTCCCACTATCTACCACATGAAATAGCAGATATGGAATACAATCTGTTATTGATCAGAGTCACCAAAAACTTATAAATCCTAGTCTTCTACTTGTATCGTTCGAGTAGAACAGCATCTTTGGTGCATTTTGTTTCAAACTGTTCATGATGGTCTAACTCCTGCAACAGATTTTGCAGTCTCAGCATACTCACTAATCGATCAGTCCTCCAGTTTCATAAAGGATATGGATATCCTCATCCTAATTTCAAAATTTTGAGCAGTATCACCAACCTTAGAATATATAAATAATAAAAATAAAGAATTTCACATCTGCCCCACATTTCCTGGGCTTTCTTCTTAAACATGTGAGCATCACTCATGTCTACTAGCATCATGAAGTTCCATAATCATGAGATCACAACTGCATTGCTTTGTTCCATGTTGCAAACTTGGGATCTTTGGACTTCAGGTATTAACTAACTAGTTCAATTTTTCCCTTCTTTAGAAAGATTTGGATGAAATAAGACTATTTTAGGGTTTTTCTTCCATTGAAACAAAGGCTAAAGTGGATGTTCTGCAACTCTACAATGTGCATATATTCTATGTGGGCAAAGGTGTTTGTCTCTGACATTATAAGGGGTTTATTTAAGGTAAGGTGCTCCAGAGGAAGGAAAAAAACTTCCAATGCAGGATTAGAAGAAATATAGAGGAAGAAAAAGAAAAAACTAGCCAACATGCAATGGTATCTATCAAAAAATCAGTTTCCTCATTTGAATAGGATTAAGAGTCCAGTATTTGTATCACATCATAATCAAGGTTGTCGGTAAGGTTATACGGCGGACAGCGGCAAGGACTTTTAAGTACCGTATTATATATATATATCATAGTAGTCAATAGCGGGCGGAGCGGCCACTATCGCGGCGCTCTGGAGCGGAGCGGCCCGACCCCGCCATTTTGATGCTGTCGCGTCGCAGATGTGTGTCGCGGCTGGAGCGGCCGCGTCGGTGGCGGAGCGGAGCGACCAGAAATGTCGGAATCGCGGCGCTTCTTTGACATACCCTTCATTAAGGGTAAGTTTGTCTTTTCAGTTGGCCTTTATTTGCCCTAATTTTTCCCCTCCGTCTCGCGGAACCACTCCATTTCTCACGTCTCGCACTCCCTCTCCTCTCTCTCTCTCTCTCGGATGATTGATTCTTCTCTCTCAAGGACGACCGTCGACGCACTCCGGTTCCGACGCACCTCCAGTTCCGCGACGCACTCCAGTTCCGACACAGTCCTCCAGCTCTGATGTGCCTCCAGCTCCGACTCCGATGCTCCTCCAGCTCCGACGCGCCTGGTCTGTCTTCTTTTCTCTTCTCTCTTCTTTTCTCTTCTTTGTTCTTATTTTATAATTCAACAGAATTTTTTCTTATTTCTCATTAAATTTAATTAAGCAAAATTTTTTTTTATTTCTGAATAAATTTAATTTAGCAGATTTTATTTTTAATTTCTGATTAAATTTAATTCAGCAAATTTTTTTAATTTCTAATTAAATTTAATTCAGCAGATTTTTTTTTAATTTCTGATTAAATTTAATTCAGCAATTTTTTTTAATTTCTAATTAAATTTATTTCAGCAGATTTTTTTAAAATTTTTGATTAAATTTAATTCAACATATTTTTTTAAAATTTCTGATTAAATTTAATTCAGCAGCT